ATTGAATTAAAAAATTACACAAAAAATATGAATTTTAAATAATTAATTTGATACTAATATCAATATATTTTTGTCAAATTCTTATGATATATTTAATTTTATATTTTATTCAAAAATAAAAACATAATCGCTTTTCAAAATCACATAAGACCATACTATAATATCGACTAAAATAATGAAGAAAATAAAATATTAAAATCAAGATATATCTCGCTGGATTGTGCGAGTACCCTTCTAGTAACAATTAAATAATTAAATAAATTGACATCATAATACTACCGATGTATGTAACTTTTGGTATTGTGTACCAACCAGACACCAATTATAATTAATACGGTTGATACACATATTGACTGGTTTAGTCTGATACAAAATTAATACAGCTATGATAAAAAAGTTTGATGTAGGTAGGAGGGGAGTTAGATTAGATGATTGGGTAGTTATTGTCTATCTCCTACCTTCTTAATTAAGAGGACCAATTTGAAAAGTAGAATTAAGTATAAATGTCATCAACACCTCATAAATTTGAGTGAATTACATTTTGGTCCCTCTTTTATGGTTGGTTCTTTGTTTGGTCCTTGTAATTCATATAGAATTCCAGTAATTTCTTATTTCGTATTTCGGAGTCCAAACTAGTCCTAGAGTTAACGATGTTAGTCAAACAGTTGTTAAGTTCATCATGTGCCACTCATGTGAGACACAATTTGGTAAATAAGTTAATATTTTGCTCATATTTATTTTTATTTATTTTGTAAATAAGTTAATATTTTATATTTATAGAATAACTAATGTTACATAAAACCTCTCCATGTGCGTTGACACCCCCCCCCCCCTTCCTGTGGCTTTGGTGATTCATCCCTCGTTTCTCTATCAACCGACACCAAATCATTGGTTGATGGCACGCCACTTTATCGTTTTGAATTTGCATTTGTGACTTCTTTCAACCTTACATGATTTCTTTACGGTGATATATCCTCCACTTGTTCTTCTCAGTTTAACCGGAAGATCTAGGCTCTAGAAGATGACGAACGACAAACTCGAAGATCTGAATACAGTCTCAAACTCGAATTCAAAGATCTAGATTCAAACGAAGCAGATGATGGTTCGATGGAGATCCAAATTCAAGTTTAACGTAGATCTAGATCCTAATAATGATTCGAGTTAGGGTTTTAAATTTAGGGATTTAAAATGTAGCTTTAGATCTAAATTCAGGCGATCGTGCAATTTAGGGTTTTAAATTTAGGGATTTAAAATGTAGCTCTTGATTTTGGCTTTTTTATATATATGATTGATTCTTTTATCACAACTTTTTGTCTGGATTTGAGTTTCAAAGACTGATTTTGCGTTTGAGCTGTGATGTTGACGGGTGTAATTGGT